CATCCATCACTGAAGTACATGAGTAAGTTTCAAAAAGTAGGTCATTCATAGGATAATATCGTAGAATATCAAATAATGTTTACAATTAAACGACGTCAGGTCGGTCACGCCTGTGTGTTGGCTTGCAATCTGTCCGACAAGAGAGATTTGGGAGTCCGTGTGAACGGGTGTTACAGTAACCCATTGTCATTGGAGCGCGATGTGGCATTAGAGCATGATCGATAAATCCTTCAAGAAATTGGCCTTCAGTAAGGCAGAAACGAAGTGGGACCATTCTTGCATTGTTGATTTGTTGATTTGGTTTACTACAAATGGAATTTGAAATTGTGTTATCAAGAGTGGAATCTGAAGTTGTGTCACCTGGTGTGTGAACGGTTCGACTGTGTTGGAAGTGATTTCTACCCAACATGATTCCGAATTTATGTAACTTGAGATGTAACACGCCATGAATACTTGAGGTGATTTTTGTGTCGTAAGATGAGGTTTTAACAACCCTGTTTATTCAGTTATGTAGTTTGGAAAATTGCTTGTGGCGACTACAGATATGACCGGAGAGAGCTACAAACAATAACAACAAACAATATGTAACTCGAAATAAAAATAACTTTTCTCATCTCTGTCGTGCGTTTATCTAACACAGTGATTTTGCATAGGAAGAGCGCAATTTATGGTGTGGGAACGGTTCGACTGTGAAAAATGGAGTACAGTGAATGCTGACCCTTAGGAATTTCACTCTTTTTTCGTTTTTGTTATGCTTGATGGGTTTTCTAGTGTTGCTACTGTTGTTGACTTGTATTTACTCTCGCTTGGTGATTTTTGGTCTCATTTTTGTCAAGAATCCTCTGTCTTTCCTATAATTAGTGATCTAGCATAACGTCCACTTTCACTCACTGGTAATCGTAGATTCGCTCATTTGTAGAATCTGTGTGCAAGTGGCACTGATTGTTAATAAATTGCGCTCTTCCTATGCAAAATCACTGTGTTAGATAAACGCACGACAGAGATGAGAAAAGTTATTTTTATTTCGAGTTACATATTGTTTGTTGTTATTGTTTGTAGCTCTCTCCGGTCATATCTGTAGTCGCCACAAGCAATTTTCCAAACTACATAACTGAATAAACTGGGTTGTTAAAACCTCATCTTACGACACAAAAATCACCTCAAGCATTCGGAATCATGTTGGGTAGAAATCACTTCCAACACAGTCGAACCGTTCACACACCAGGTGACACAACTTCAGATTCCACTCTTGATAACACAATTTTCAAATTCCATTTGTAGTAAAAACCAAATCAACCAAATCAACAATGCAAGAATGGTCCCACTTCGTTTCTGCCTTACTGAAGGCCAATTTCTTGAAGGATTTATCGATCATGCTCTAATGCCACATCGCGCTCCAATGACAATGGGTTACTGTAACACCCGTTCACACGGACTCCCAAATCTCTCTTGTCTAATTTTTTCAACGGCATCGTCGGCTATCAAATGATACACATTGATTCCGTTTCTTTGATAATGTCTTTGTTCCGTAAGTTGCATCTAATACATGGTTGTCGAAACACGAGTTCTGTTTCTGAATCCTAAGAAAACATTGTAGGCAATATGAGGCTGTTTTTCAGTCTAATATTGTATGAGGCTCAAGATTAGTTAGTCAGATCAGATTAGTTAGATTGGTGGGGGAGGGTCGGTGGAATCCTTTTCAAGGAGAAGGTCGTACCACACCGCCAGTTTCGCACATCCCCATGCTGCACCGACCTGGGGAAAGTCTAGAATATCTTAAAAGAAGGAACGTCCAGATACGGTTATGGACGCCTACATCAGGCATCCTTCCAACCTAATTGAGACGTGCGCCCGGCATAGAAGTTGGGCTGTAGGCATTGTAACGAAGAGATCTTTTTGGGAGAAAATAGCGAGGAAATGGGATTATGTGTCTGGCGATCGGGCCAAGACCTAATTGATTTAAAGGCGTAAGGCACCGTAATTTGGTAATCGGTGTAAAATGGTAGCAGGGGTGCCATACAGTGGGAAATGGCGAAAAGCGAAGTAAAGCGTCAAAAACCTGCAAAAAATGTCTTGGCGGCACACGACTAGGAATTTCGGACGAGTTTTCCGTTGGCATCGTGCCATTAACCGCTCGGCTGGGTCTACGGACAACTCGAACTCAATCCCTTTGAACGCGTCGATCTTCTCTTCTTTCTCATGCAGCTCGTCTCGCCCAATGACACTAACCTATGGCCGTGCTTCGCTCACTTCGCACTTTTTCACCGACTATAAGCAGCTCACCCACCGGGGAGTCCCTCACCCTTGCCACCAACCAGTATTTCCTGGCTCGCCCCCACACCCTTTTTTTGCACTTTTCGATGCTTTGGCAGCCGCTGCCCTCTATCCGTCTGCGTCACAGGGTTTCGTAACAGGACCATGCACAAAAGTTCAAGATGTCACGTGATCCGCTACGGGTACGATATTCACAACGCGTAGCCCGGTTACGTGACACAAGACGACGTGACTGGCTGACATGAAGCACTCTATCAATCCACTTACGCCTAATATTGTACTTCACAAATAAAGAAGATACGAGCATCAGCACTCGTTGCGATTTGTGGAGCAGGCGGCGCGGTGGCTGTCCGCGGGTTTATTTTTTTATTTTTTTTTTTTCTTTTTTTATTTTGATATGTTGGGGGCTCATAGGGATAGGGGCCATTTGCTTGGAAAAGGGGCCACGCAGCGCCTGCAGGGGTGCCAAATACTATGCTTCAGGTCGTATCGATCCTACCAGTCTTGAGGAATCCTAATCGTGTCACTGCTTCAAATGGACACGTTACCGTATGTCGAGCAAGTCAGAGCCATGTTTTAGGATGCCTGTCCTTGTTTCCATCACGCTTACGCGATTTAATGTTGATCCCGTTCAACCGCTTTGCCGATAGCGATATATGGTTGGCCTTGGAAGCCTGCCAACTGAAGGAGATGGTCTCCAAGCGCGAACACGGTCTGATGACAGAAATTGAAGAAGGAGGAAAAAATATCAGGTAAGGCTGAAGCAGTTCTGCTCAGTGGCTGCTAAATTCTCGCTTGTTAAGTAATTGGATGAAACGCGCAGCTTGTGACTTAGGTGTCGATCACTATTGGAAGGTGGAGCGATACTTATCCTTGATGAAGCAACAGCATCACTTGATCATGCGACGCAAACGCTTGTTGATGCGGTGAGGGTTGAAGCAGTGGAAAATTCTTGGCATATTCATCTGTTGTCAAACTGGTGTATTTTTGTAATGATCAGGTGCGTACGAAAAAGCACTTCCGCAATGCCACTCACGATTACCATCAGCTCACAAACTGAGACAAGTTTAGCGGAATGTGACAGGGTGAAAGAGCTAAATTTAGCCAAAGAATGCACTGAGAGAGAGAGAAGAATAGCATCTAGGCGCGAGTCTAGACTGAGCCCACGGCGACCAGAAATTACTTTCCTTCTGATCGCTGCCAGGCTTGTTCTTACTGTGTTTCTCTGAGCTCTCAACGTCTTGGCCGTTTTGAACTCACAGAGACTCCTAACCGCTTCCAGCTTTTCACACACATTTAGTGGCTCATCCCTCCCGTGGAAGGCTTATCCCAGGCCTACCCCTACTCGCGAAGTGGTTTTTGCATCTTTGGATGCCTCGGAGCGCTCAGTCCCGCCTTTTTCTGTCCTTTGGGCCTTTATGCTCGCAGGACCTGCGAAGGTCTAAGTTGTCACGTAACCCTTATAAGCTTTGCGGTGTGCTACTTCAACGGTCCTCAGAGCAGTACCTAGTCCTAGCATCGCTTTAGAGCAGATCTATCGGCGCCAACCAACTTTTACTGCCTAAACACTCGAGTAAACTTCATCTGAAACTTCTCACTTATTCAAAGACCGGTCCCCCGCGAGTTTAATCGGTGGTGTACTTCGAATAAAAGATACTTTTCGGAATGGCCCCATTTAGCGGCCACGTCTTTTTTCGTACAAATCGGTATAACCTTTTATGATGAAATTATTTGATGTTTTGGTTACACATATGGCCTTCACTCTTGGCGCCGCCGCCATTTACTGCAAGAATAATGATGCCACCAACTTTTTCATCAAGTGATATCACAACTTAGCATACCACTTTGCCCTTTGGGCAGTTGGTCCAGCCTCTGGTGTCTGCATCTGCTAAGGTTGAGCTTGGGGAGTGCCCAGTTCTCAGCACAACACTAACAGATACCCACACTAAAGGCCTTCGAAAAAAGACGAAAAAGACGCGGATCCGCGTCTTTTTCGTCTTTTCGCTATAACTCAGTTCGGATTGACATTTCTTAGATAGAAAGTTGTAACCGTTAGACCAGCTCGTTTAGCTCTACAAGATGATCCCTTGAAAGTTCGAAAATGTCCAAATTTGAACTATGCCTTCCATCAAAGTACCTACGGGCACTCATTAGCGGGCGAGTCTCGCTATAATTGTAACCAAAGGGCAATCGTTGAGAGTGAGACCACATTGAAATCAAATGAATTCCGCATTTTGTTGGAGATGATTGAGAACCAGATCATTGTGTTCCCCAAGTGATGCTGATCCTTACCATATCAATTTTTCTGAAAATAGCAGAACTTTACGGAAAGTCACTTTCGTACTATATTGCTTTTTCAATTTGAAATATCTCAAGCATCAGCTGGGCTCAGATTACGAGAGCACAACAGTCCCGATCTACGCAGTTACCTCCTCCCTACCGTTTGCGAAATCGAAAGAATGAGTTTGAAAAAAAGGGGTTTACAGCTACTTGAATAGAGGCCATCGTGTGATACTAGGACAAATGTCGTTTTCGAGCGATTTCAAATGGGATTTGCAGGGCACTTAACTGTACAGGAAAGTTCATAAAAGAGCTACATACAGAATACCTTGTGGTCTTGAATAAACTTATGAAAAATAGTAGCAAATTTCTGACTGTTGGTTGTTATCTACGGTCAACTTCGTGTCTTTACTGACAAGGAATTTCACGAATTTTTCATAAGAGGGAACCCCCAGTCAAAGTTATACTGTTCGAATCCCCATGAAAAATGCAGTCTAATCATGTGAAGAAAGTTGCTTAAAATTTTCTGTGACCTCTCACGTTATTCTCCGGCTCTCTGGACGATCAATCGACCTCATAATTAGCTCATAACTAATTAGTAAAACCTTCGCGGTCATGGTTCCGGGTACTGGAAGGGTTTCGCCGACGTTCGACCGAAGCTCCTTTTTAGTATATTACTGTGTGGTCCGCGCTAGGGCTGGCGGTCAGTGCCTCCCAAACGCTGGCAGGAGTCCCAGCTGGAGTAGCAGTGGATATCAATGGCGGATAATGTAGAAATCCATAGATCAAAGATCAGCTCAAAGGAGTTCGAATACAAAATCATCTCCATTACTGGAGTCCCAGGGGCATGACATTTTTTTTGTAGCCACGCAAGTTGACACAGCTGTACAATTCATCATGCCATAAAGACTCCATAGGCAATTCAATGACGTCAACAATCCACGCTGAAGATTTTCTTGAGCACATCGAGTCCGTTGTAAAGCTCAGGAGAAATCGCGAATTAGCTGCTTATACGTACAGGGACTCGAACGGGAGAGCGCAAAGTTTTTCAATCTTCGATGAATTTTGAAATTCAAAATAAAAAAGCTCGCTCTATGCAATGGCATTTGCTGGATCATCGCATAAAGTAGTGAACAAAATAGATTACTATATTGAATGGCAAAACTAAGAAAAGTGATCAATAGAGGCCTTGTCCACCTCGATGGGCTAATTATGAGGTCGATTGATCGTCCAGAGAGCCGGAGAATAACGTGAGAGGTCACAGAAAATTTTAAGCAACTTTCTTCACATGATTAGACTGCATTTTTCATGGGGATTCGAACAGTATAACTTTGACTGGGGGTTCCCTCTTATGAAAAATTCGTGAAATTCCTTGTCAGTAAAGACACGAAGTTGACCGTAGATAACAACCAACAGCAGCAAAATTATGCTACTATTTTCATAAGTTTATTCAAGACCACAAGGTATTCTGTATGTAGCTCTTTTATGAACTTTCCTGTACAGTTAAGTGCCCTGCAAATCCCATTTCAAATCGCTCGAAAACGAACATTTGTCCTGGTACCACACGATAGCCTCTATTCAAGTAGCTGTAACCCCCTTTTTTGAACTCCATTCTTTCGATTTCGCAACGGTAGGGAGGAAGGTACTGCGTAGATTGGACTGTGTGTCTCGTAATCTCGAGTCCAGCTGATGCTTGAGATATTTCAAATTGAAAAGCAATATAGTACGAAAGTGACTTTCCGTAAAGTTCTGCTATTTTCAGAAAAATTGATATGGTAAGGATCAGCATCACTTGGGGAACACAATGATCTGGTTCTCAATCATCTCCAACAAAATGCGGAATTCATTTGATTTCAATGTGGTCTCACTCTCAACGATTGCCCTTTGGTTACAATTATAGCGAGACTCGCCCGCTAATGAGTGCCCGTAGGTACTTTGATGGAAGGCATAGTTCAAATTTGGACATTTTCGAACTTTCAAGGGATCATCTTGTAGAGCTAAACGAGCTGAGTCTAACGGTACAACTTTCTATCTAAGAAATGTCAATCCGAACTGAGT